AAAATCAAAAGATAAGGAACCGATGAAGGTGGTGCCATAACGGAAGTATTGTAATTGAACGATTTGGAACTCACCCTCAAACACAAAATAAAATTAATAGCAAAACACGATGATAAAAGAGACAGTGTTTATGAGGAATTTTCGATTTCTTTCGCTCAAGCTCAATTTTGTTTTATTAAGATCTTAAAATTTAAGACAATAACCCTCTTAATGATCTTTCTCCTCAATAAACCATCATTATTTTTACGCTCTTAGATGATTTTCCTACTCACTTATCATCGTTATTTTTCTAGTAAGCCTAATCCCTCTTATATAGTCTAACATAGAAACCCACATCAACTAGCTTCAATATTTTTACTTCTCCCAAGTCTAAATAATCCTAAATTGATTATACATACCTAAAATATATCTAGTCTCCTAATTACAATCCTCATCTAACTAGGAAAGCATAAAAGATAAAACTAAATAAAAGATACGGTAAGTTTAGTTTTATTTCTAACAGGTAGTGAATACCATAAACCAAGTTATTTCCAATAAATAGGATTAGTACATAAAACTACCGCGACATACTCACCATAACAAAATGGTGTAGGAGAAAGGAAGAATAGGCCTTTAGAGGAAATGGAATTCCATGTTATTCTATTCGGGATGGAGCGATAGATTTTGGGGTAAACAATATTAACTGTTTGTTACATTTTAAACCGAGAATGAAAAGGAATGAGGTAACCCCATATGAGTTATGGCAAAAAGAAGAAAACCAAACTTGAGTCATCTCTGGGGTTGTAGGGCAATTGTAAAGGTGGCGGAGCCTAAATTTAAAAAGTTAAGTGAAAGAGGAGTGGAATGCATTTTTATAAGATAATCGGAACATAACAAATCCTATAGGTTATATGTAATTGAACAAAATGACTATTGGTCAGTTCATATCACCATTGAGTTTGGAGATGCATTGTTTGATGAAAATTTGTATTTATCAATTCCTAGACCAAAGGATATAACTCCAAATACCGATGCTTAAAGTTTTGACCAAAATGAATTTGATCAAGAGATGGATGACCAAACTAATTTAGAGGAGGCATTAACATCATCATCTCAACCTAGGAGAAGTAAAATGGCAAGGAAAGAAAATCTTTTGGCTCAGACTTTCATGTGTACTTCATTAAAAGATTAAGGAATTCTATTTCGACACAATTTTCATACATTTTAAATTTGGAAGATGATCCATTTGACATATGATGAGGCTATGAGGTCTCGTGATGCTCCATTTGGGAAAAACACTATTATTGATGAGATATGTTATCTAAATTACAACCAAAATGTAAATCAATAGGGTGTAAATGGATCTTAAAAAAGAAATTGAGCATTGATGGAACTGTTGAAAAGTTTAAAGCCCGGTTAGTGGCACAAGGTTTTACACAGAAACCTGGTATCTATTATTTTGATATATATGCATCAGTTGCTAAAATTTCAACAATACTTGCGGCTAGTGCTGTGCACCGGTCCAAAACCGAACCGTGACTAAAATGGACCGGAATCAACTTTTTTTTTTTTTTTTTTGTGATCGAAGACCAGACCGTAATTCATCGGTCAGGTTCCGGTTCGGTCCGATTTTGGACCCTAATGGACCCCTTTTTTTTTTTTTTTTTTTTTTTTTTTTTTTTTTTTTGCATTTTAGTGTCTTAGACATCATTTTTTAACGTCTTGTTTTTGTTTGCGTGTAATCTTATTTTGCACCTAAAATTTATAAATTACAAGTTTTGTACCTAAATTTTTTAGAAATTGAAACATAAAGTTTAAATTTTTCATCCAAAAATTACAAAACTCACTTTCCGGTCCATTTCGGTTTTTAGCCGGTCGGGACCGGAAATCCGGAATGACCAATTTGTGAGGATCGAAGACCGACCCGGAATCTAACGGTCCGACCAGTCTCGGTCCTTTTTTGCACACCCCTACTTGCGGCTATCCATAATCTTGTGATCCATGAAATGGATGTCAAGACAACGTTCTTTAATGGAAATGTAGAGGAAGAAGTTTATTGTTGTGGAAGGTCAAGAAGAAAAAGTTTGCAAGTTTATTATATCTTTGTATAGGCTAAAACAAGCACCTAAGCAATGTCATCAAAAGTTTGATGAGGTTAGGTTGTCTAATGGTTTCAAGTTGAACAATTTAGACAAGTTTATATATATAGCAAAGTTGATGACAACGGTCAAGGTGTCTTAATTTGTCTATATGTTGATGGCATATTGATATTTGGAACGGATTTATCACAAGTTAAAAAATGACAAAATCCTTTCTTAGTTCTCGGTTTTCCATGAAAGACATGTGAGAAACGGATGTCATCTTGGGCATTAGAAAGAGGGAAAAAGAAAAAATGGTTTTGTCACAATCTCATTTCATTGAGAAAGTGCTCAAGAAATTCAATGTTAGTGATGATTCGACATCTCTTTATTCAACAGGTATGGATCCTAGCGTAAAGTTGATACATATTAGGTATATGCTAAAGTAATAGGTTGTTTGATTTATGCCATGCCAAATACTAGGCCGGATATTGCTTATACAGTTTGTCAACTAAATAGGTACACTAGTAAAATAGTAATCCTAGTATGTTACATTGGCAAGCGGTTTGATGCTTGTTGAAGTATTTGAAGAAAACCATGGATTATGGTTTGTTGTATAGTAGATATCTCTCGGTTGTAGAAGGATATTCGGATGCAAGTTGGATTTGTAATAAAGACCATTCCTCCGCAAGTGAATGAGTTTTCCTATATGAGGAAGGTGTTATTTCATGAGTTTCTAAGAAGCAAACTTGCATTGCGGACTCCACAATGACATCGAAGTTCATTTTTGAGATACATTTGTTGCCAAAAACGATTTAACCTATAGTGATACATTGTGATAACAATGCTACTTAGGCAAGGGCATATAGCTATGTTTATATTGGTATGTCAAGACACATTGGAGTATGACATAACTACATTCAAGGACTAAGGAAGGATAGTGTGATAACTATTGATTATGTTCGAACAAATCTTAATCTCACCGATTGTTTCACAAAGGCGTTGGCAAGAATTGTTAACAATGAGATGGCAATCGGTTTAGGATTGGAGCCCTAAATAATTACAAATGAGAAAGTCTTAACTTAAAGTCTTATAAGACGTAGGGTCTTAAGTTCAACAAAATTAACTTTCTTATTTGCTAATTGGGAACTTGTATATTCATCTAAGGTAAAGTTCCGAATTTTTTGTGATGTCAAGAGGTTGTTTAACTTAATAGAATTCTTAATATTGTGCTTTGTCACAGGAGCATGTTTTGGAAATCTACCTATATAAGTATTTATTTTAGCCGCTTCAAGATATTATTATGGGCGTAGCTTTGATGTACTTATGAATAGATATGGATACATGGCGTAAGTGTCAAGTAAATATGTATTTAAGTATTTAATCTTGTGTGTGTAATATCTTCAAGTATCTAATACTTCCTCTATTCTTTTTTACTTTGTTTCTTTTATCACGCTTGCCAATGCAAAACTTTAACGATCAATAACTTCAATTCTCTATAAATAAAAATTATAAAAGTTGTATATTATGATATTACTTATTGAGACGAATCCAAAAAGATCTTACATGAGTATATTATTCCTTACATATTATTCACAAAAGACGGTCAAAGGAGGGGTGATGAATAGTGTAAAAGTCAAAGCGGGTCAAGTAATAAAGAACGGAGGAAGTATGTATTACTGTTGGTTCAAACATTTTATGATACCGAATAGTCTTTGTACACTTTCATTTATGCACAAGATTTTTTGTGTTGATGATGTTTTGCAATGAGTCTAATTTAATACTCTAAAAGGGGGAGGATTGTTGAATAATTTAGAGTATTGGTGACAATATTCATGTTGTTTGATTGTTTTACTTAGGCTAAGGTATTGTGAATTGATTAAACAAGTATTAGACCAAAGATAATATCAATTTAGCGAAAAAGCAAACTGCCGGTCAGAGCACGCCCTACCGGGCGCGAGTGCAAGCATGAAGGTTTCTGGTTTGCTGCCAGGCGGGCTCGAGAATGAAGAAGAATTTTCGTTGGGCGATTGCCCATTCGGGTCACTTCCGCCCAGGCAGGCGCAAGCGCGAAGGATTTTGACACAACTACACGGTTCAACAAGGCGCGAGAGCACCCAGATTAATCTGGGTCGCTAGATCTCGGTTGGGCGCGGGTGTTGGCTGGGCAACCTTTGATGGTTTTCTTCGGTTTTATGCTTGGTTATTTTGCTCTATATATATTATACATATATGATGAAATCATATGTTCAAGAAAATCAGTTTTATTTCTCTTGAAAGAACCTTTTGCACTTTATTGTTCATCATCACAAAGCTCATACATTTTTTTTTGAGGGAAAAGCTCATACACTTAATTACATTGTATTGTGCAATCATTCTACTTGTGATTGTAATTGGCCTTCGTTGTATCTCCTAAGCGACTTCCATGATACCCGGTTGTAGTATAGGATCAGAATTATACTTTTGGGAAAGTGATTTCGTTCACGCTTCAAAGTTTATTTTCTGAATTTTTCATTTCCATTTGTGACCCTTGTTATTATTAGAAAATCCCCACCAGATAAAAGGATGGAAATTTTTCTAATTTTAGAGATTAGAGACCTCTGTTGGTCATGCTCAATATATCATTTTCTTTGTCTTGCAGTTTTGTTCTCAGGTGTTATAATGTAATTTCTGTATAGTAGTTATAGTTCTGCATATATCACTGAGAGCTTGCTAGTTAGGCAGTTAGGTTCCAATTGTTGGAGGGAAGGGTGAGGACAGGTTTGATTTGCTGCTCAGTGATTTCTGGTTATTTGTGCAGTTTAATGGTAGATTTAATTTTGCTTTTTCTTCTTCCTTGCTGCAGTCCGTAATCTGATTGTCCTCGAATATTAAAACACCATTTGGCATTTCTAAGCTCATTCTCATGAGTAATTTAACACCCCTTTTATCTGATTATTGCAGTTGTATGATAATACCATTTATGCTGAACAGCGGCCAAAAACAATGGAGTGTCTTATCAGTTTTTCAGAAAGTATGATTAAAACATCAGTGAGTTTGGCTGTTACTGCATCAATAATGCTGCAAGCATGAAACACATCCGCAGCGAATTTCTGCATAAGCTTTGGTAGCAAATTTCCTTCTTAAGTTCTTTACAAAGCAATGACATGTTCTTTACTACAATTTACTCTAATTTCGTAATAATTGCAATTATAGGGAGGGCACAAAGTTTTAAAATATTATAGGGTGGGGAGTATGGGGATCAAAGGGAGAATCTTATAATATAAAGTATAGTTAGTGTGTATATATTTCATTGTTTGCTGGAAAGAAAAAAAAATAGTGTTAGTGGTAGGAGAGATAAATAATAAAAATAGTATTGAGACCTTATCAAATAAGGAAGTGTTGCAATTATTACAAAACGAATGAAAAAGGAAAACAATGTTCTTTCGGCTATTTTTTTATACCGGGATATGGTGCACCTGGGGGGCACAAATCAAGAATTACATATGTCTTCTAAATATAATTGTTGGCTTGGCCTAAAATATGAATTTAAAAGCAAAGTTCGAAAAAATTACACCTTACTGATAAAAGTGTCACCATTCATCACTAGTGTGAAAATACAAAAGCAAAGTAAACACGGAAAAGTCTAGCAATTACAACTTGGTGGTCAGTGACTTTATTGATTCAATAATTGAGATGTCAATAATATGAACCAATTATTGTACGGATCATTATTGTTGTTTAATTATTTAACCTTTAAATCAAGATTAGTTAGTACAGTAGAACCTTGCCATGAAATGCAAATATCATGTTGGGGTCATTTTTAATTTGGTCAATTATTAGCTTGTTGATCAGTACTAACACCATTCTCACTCATTTTTTAAATTTGACACTGTTTTGAAATCTACTACTGTAGATACTCTTACAAATCTAATTAGAACAATTGAAGATTCTTAGCTATTAGCTCAGGTTATTAAAGTTCCATTTAATACTGATGATATTTTTTAATTTAAGTTATTGTTTCTATTTAAGTGTTAAATTAGGTTTAAGTTATAATTAAAAAAATGGTTAAAAAAAAAAGAGGGCTATATGCTTTCAGGCTTTCAGCGCTCCCAAAAGATTGATTATGTTATGGTAATAAATTTCAAAAATAAGTGAATGTGTGAAAGAAAAAAATAAAAGAAAAGTAGAACTTTGATTGGAAACACACCCCAAAATAAAAGTTGGGTTGAACTTTTAAAGATGAAACCAGAATGTATTCGAGTCAACTAGGTAGGAGTATATTGGCAAAATTGCATATCAGATCATTGTTTAAGACCTTCAAGATTGACCCAACCTTATTATGCGTAATTAAGCCAACAAGTTCAGTATTATGTATTGACTATCACTTTCTAATCTCTATCACTCACTCACCTTTTCTTTTTCTCTCACAAAACTCTCATTTTCTGTCTCTTTTCTGCAACCAAAAATGGATATTGGAACAGCCATGTCTGTAGCTCAAACTTTGTTTGCAGCACTGGATTGTGATCAGCTCAGACAGAACTGCTCCATTGCTTGCTACAAATCCGAACTTGATGCACTTCGTGGCACCGTCTTTAGAGTAAAAGCTGTGCTCAAGGATGCTGAGGCCAAGCGAGAGTTGTCCGAACAAGATCAGCTCTATATTGAAGAACTCAAGGAAGCAGTTTATGAAGCCGATGATCTCTTTGACGAGTTTGTCACTCTTGCTGAGCGGAATAAGCTCACTGAGGGAATCAAGGATCGTGTCCGTTCTTTTTTTAGCAAGTTTTGTACAGCTTACAATATGGCTCAAGGGGTTAAGAAGATCAAGAAAAAGTTAGATGCTATTGCTAATGATAGTCGGTTCAGCTTGACCATTGATCCTAAGCCTATTAAGAGTCGAAGGCTTGAGAGTTGTTCTTATGTTTATGAATCTGATATAATTGGAAGAGAGTCTGATTTAGAGAAAATTGTTGGTGTGTTGCTCGATTCTAGTGTTCAACAAAACGTTTCTTTCCTTTCTATTGTGGGGATTGGGGGTTGGGAAAGACTGCTGTTGCCCAACTTGTGTATAATGATGTAAGAGTCACAACCTCATTTCCTTTGAGGTTGTGGACTTGTGTCGCTGATGAAAATCAGATACTGCTTGATGTACAAGGGGTTCTTCGTAAGATTCTAGCTTCAGCTACGGGTTATATGTTGGATGAGAGCACTACTATGGATGGGTTGCAAATCCAACTTCGAGAAAAACTTGCAGGAAAAAAATTCTTGCTTGTTTTGGATGATGTGTGGACTGAAAATTATGAGCGATGGCATACACTGACACAATATTTGATGGGAGGTCAGAGGGGGAGTTGGATTGTGGTTACAACACGTTCACAGCAGACAGTACGAATCATCGGAGGTGGTCCAAGGCATGAGCTACAAGGTTTGACAAAGGAAAAATCATGGTGTTTATTTAGAACGTTTTACCAAATTGAGCTTTAAACGGAAACTATTGACAAAAATGGTAGCGTGGCAAAACTATTTACCAAACTAAGCTTCCAGGGTAAATCGCTGTCTCGGACAGCGTTTTACCTTCTGTATTTTTTTAAATTCAGTAGGGCATAAAACGCTGTCTCGGACAGCGTTTTATCCTTGGGTTTTTTTTAAAAAAAAATTCAATGGGTAAAACGCTGTCCGAGACAGCGTTTTATTCCCTGTTTTTTTTTTTAAATGAAACGCTGTCCGGGACAGCGTTTCATGGCCATATATCAGCATGTTCACTTCAGCAGAATGCGCAAGAACTCAACCTCAACCTCAACGCTTTCCCTCCTCCCTCTCACACTAAACCACGACCGTACTCAAACACCCGCATTGCCGCCGCCGCCCACCCTTGCGCCACCGCTGCTGCCGCCACCTTGCTGCTGCCCTCCTCCCTCTCACACTCACTCACTCAATTTCGTGGTTAGCCCTAAACTGAATTTAGTGTAATTGCATAGTTATTGTGGTTAATTATTGTGAATTGTATGTAATTGCTCTTACTTGTTGTTAATTCATGTCAATTGCCTGTAATTGTTGCTAATTATTAATGAAAATGTGGTACATTGTTGATAATTATTGATGGTGATGTGGTACATTGTTATTGAAATTGTTCATGACATTGGTGAAGTTGATGATGGTGAAAATGTTGAAGTTGTTAATGGTTGAAATTGGTGAGAAGAGATGAAATTGTTGAAATTATTGAAATAGTTTAGGTTGAAATTGTTGAAATAATTCAAATTGTTCATGAAATTGTTGAAATTGGTGAAGTTGTTGAAAGTGAAGTTGTTATAGGTGAGAAGAGTCTTATTTCAGTGTTGATAATTTACCTCGCTCTAGATTTCGATAATCCTAAAATGTGTTTTGGTTATGTAGAATATGGCGTCACAAAATGTAGTTTTGTTATGCCGGTGGGGAGGAGAAATTCTGTTTGATGGACCCCGGGTCGAGTATAGTGGGGGAAATATGGAACCACTAACACTAGAACCGAACATGACTATGAATGATTTGATAACATTTGGAACATTTGATCGTTAACATTTTGGTTAATTGCTAATGCGTTAACTCTGTTGGGATAACCCTAAATTGCATGTGAACAGATACGATGGACGGTGAAGATCGTACGCCTGGACCCGTTGACCCTTCTGTGCTTACACTACAGGGCACACACCGCAGCGTTGCCGTATGGGATCAGACGGTAATATTGCATTTGTTTGTTCATGGACTACAGCTTGTTGAGTTTATATGGTATATGATCTTAATTTCTTTCTAACAGGTTGATCCGGCAAAGCAGCTCGTTTGCAGGCATTACACCACCAGGTTCATGGTGGGGTGGGGAATCGATCCTCGCGTTTTGGCGTACGTCGAGTTTGTCGGTTTAGGTGGTTTTCACCGTATGGCGTATAGGGAGATCGATCGAGCGCTTGTCACTGCGCTCGCGGAGAGGTGGAGACAGGAGACGCACTCCTTCCACCTACCTGTTGGTGAGACGACCGTTACGTTACGGGACGTGGCGATTCTTACGCGCCTTCCAGTACATGGGTCTGCGGTGACAGGACACGCGTTAGTCGATCCCGTCGGTTTGGTTGGTCGGGTACTTGGTGTCCAGCCAGGTCCCGCCGATATTAGGGGATCCGGGTTGAGGACCGGCTGGGTCCGTGAGACTTTCCGTGAGCTACCACCAGGGGCTGATGACGCCCAGGTTCAGAGATACGCCCGGGCGTACTTGTTCTTCCTCATCTCGGGCGTGTTGTTCGGGAATAAGAGCGGGAGCCATCTCCAGCTCATTTACATGCAGCTGTTGGACCACGACTGGGATCATATCCGAGGCTACAGCTGGGGTAGCGCCTGTCTGGCGACGTTGTATCGCCAGCTGTGCAGAGCATCCCACGTAGGTGCTAACGAGAATGGAGGTCCCCTGATTGTCCTCCAGGTACCTCACTTATTTCTGTACCAAAAAAACTATTTCACCACGCACTTACATATTTCATACTGAAGCTAGTTTTGTGTCTCTGTGTGCCAGTTCTGGGCTTGGGAGCATATCCATGTAGGCAGACCAGGCAGACCTGCGATACACCGTCGGGGGGAGCAGGACCAGGACGACCAGTACCAGGCGTACGATGCTCCCCCGCTCCCTACACCGGATGAGGCATATGGTTGCAGGTTCGATACAACTTTCATTGAGTTAGGCTTTATTTAATGCGCGGGGTTGTTAACTGAAACATTGTTCGATATTAGGTGGGTGGTACCCAGGCTGACACATGCTCATGCGGCGAGGGGTCTTCCGTATTACCGAGACGCCCTAGACCGACTCACCGAGGACCAGGTAACAATTTAAAATACAGTTTTAGCTTTTTTGTTTTAACATTGTACTTGTTGCGAACTAACATATTCATAATATTACTGTTGATGTGTATTTACAGGTGACATGGGACCCGTATGTACCTGACTTGGTAGATGCCATGCCTCCACATCTGCTAGACCATCAGGCGGAGTGGCGTGCTAGGGTCCCCCTGATCTGTTTCGAGGTTGTGGAGAGTCACCTGCCCGACCGAGTCATGAGGCAGTTTGGACTACGCCAGACTATCCCACAGGGGTGTGACACTAGTGTACAACTTCACGGCATTGATCGTCGGGGAAAGGGGGAGACCAGCTGGGCGCTGGAGCATTGGCGTTTCCTTCAGCTATGGGAGCAACGGTTGGAGTTCATCGTTGGAGGTGATCTAATGCAGGGGGCTATGGATCCCGACGATCCGTACATGGTGTGGTACAGGCGTATCACACGACGCTTCATCAACCCCAGCTACGCACCACCATCCACACATTACCATCCAGCATATGACATCATTAGCGGATATGTGAGTTATTATTTTTCTACTCCTTTTCAACAATTTCCATATTTGTATGCCATAGATCTGACTGATCGATGATTACTGCAGGCGGCGGATATGGTGGCGATGGTTGATGCGCTATCAGTCTCCCTTGAGTGCGGACCCACTAGAGCCCAGGTCGAGCAGGTGCGAGATATGGGCGTCGCTACCTTACGGAGATATGGTCACGCTCATCTCGCCCACCGGCGGGACGGTCATGATGGCAACTCACAGTTCGATCTCGGCCAGAGCAGCGGTGGATGTGATCCTACGTCACCCAGACACGCAGAGGATTACAACATCCACAGTACTGCGCCCTCTGGTACCCAGGAGGACCCCTCGTCCAGTCAGCTGACTCCCCCACCGCCCCGAGACCCATTCACCACCGTCACTCATTACAGGCGGCGACGTGTCAGACGGAGGGCCGACACTCAGGAGGCAGGACCTTTACCCCGAATAAATGAGTCGGGCTAGTATTATCTGTTGTATTCCCTGTTATTTTGTGTAATGATGTACATAACACTTATGAAATTAATATAATAAATCTTTTTTGAATGACTCCGTGTGTGCTTTGAAGTTAATTTGGTGGTTGGACTGTTGTTGGGCTGTTTCGAGTTTTCTGCAGTGCTTAAAGTTGACGGAACTCCCAGAATATGGTGGTGGTACGTGGTGGGGAGTGGCGGAGTTGGTGGTCGACGGTGGTGGGGTAGGGCTGTGGAGCTGGCTGTTGTGGTGGCTGTTGGAGGACTGCAGCATGCAAGCTGTTTGCTGAAGCTTGTTTTCTGCCTGGATGCTGGTTGCTGTTTCCAGCAGAAAAGCGCTGTCTGAGACATCGCTTTATGTTCAAGCATAAAGCACTGTCTAAGACAGCGTTTTATGTTCAAGCATAAAGCGCTGTCTGAGACAGCGCTTTATGTTCAAGCATAAAGCGCTGTCTGAGACAGAGCTTTATGTTGAACATATAAAATAGTTGTAGTTGATTTTTTTTTAAAAAAAAAACCAGGGGTAAAACGCTGTCCGAGACAGCGTTTTATGCTGGAAGCTTAGTTTGGTAAATAGTTTTGCCACGCAACCATTTTCGTAAATAGTTTCCGTTTAAAGCTCAATTTGGTAAAACGTCCGTTTATTTAAGAGGGTAGCATTTGGATCACAACATGAAAACCTTCCTGAAGACTTGGTTGAAATTGGTCAAGATATTGTTGGGAAATGTGCTAACGTACCTCTTGCAATTAGAGTGGTCGGAAGTCTTCTCTATGGCCAAGAAAAAAATAAGTGGCTTTTAATTCAGAAGCTGGGATTAGCGGAAGTTAATAGAAGCGAAGATAGCATCATACCTACACTGAAGCTGAGTTACTATCAACTTGAATCTCCATTAAAAAGTTGTTTAAGTTATTGTGCAGTATTCCCTATAGATTATGTAATGAGGAAGGATACATTAATAAGGCTTTGGATAGCACAAGGCTACATCCCACTAGACGATCCTCATAGCCCAGAAGATCTTGCCGAGGAATATTTTTCAATCTTGTTGCGGAGATGTTTTTTCCAAGATGTGGAGAAAGATGAAGATGGTAATATTAGATCATGTAAGATACATGATTTGATGCATGATCTTGCTCAACAAGTTGTGGGAAAAGAAATTTGTAGAGTGAAAACCATGAATGGGGATGTAGACAAAAAAGTTCGCCATCTCTCTCTTGTAAGTATTACAAATTTCTGTTTTACTAATAAGAGCCACATACGTTCATATCTTCATGTTATTGAGCAGTATCAAGAAATGGTCATGATGGACCAAGTTTGTGTGGATGCATTAATAGGTAATTGGAAGTATTTAAGGGCATTGTACTTGAGTAGATCAATGATCAAGAGTTTGCCATACTCAGTAGGTGAACTGATACATTTGAGGTATCTAGACCTCTCATATAATTTAGGTCTACAAGTTATCCCAGGATCAATTACAAAACTATATAATCTTCAAACTTTAGACTTAAGTTGTTGTAGCGAGTTGAAAGAGTTGCCAAAAGATTTGAGGAGGCTGGTAAAGCTGAGAGTCTTGGATTTAGATGGTTGTAAAAATCTAAGCTATATGCCAAGGGGCATGTGTAGGTTGAGTTGCCTTCACACTCTTAATAGGTTTGTGGTGGGAGGAACGAGTTTAAGTAAGAAAGAGGTGTTTGATGGGCTTGAAGATCTAAGAGCTCTTAGAAACCTGAAAGGTTATCTTAAAATCAGGATCCATTTCACAAAGAAGGGTGCAGATACTTATAAGATAAATGGTGAAAGGGAGGGAGGGTGCCTGGGGAACAAGGAACATCTTAAAGAAGTGCTATTTGAATTTGATGATGACGAGGAGGGTAAGGAAAGAGAGGACTATGATGAAGCAGTGATGGAAGAGTTGCAGCCATTTAATTCTAATCTTAAGAAGTTGTGGGTGTATGGATATCAGGGTTTGAGGATGCCACGCTGGGTAAGGGAAGATAACTTGGCAACTTTTCTCCCCAATCTTGTTGAAATGAGATTTGATGATTGTCAGAAATTGCAGTATCTGGGACAGTTACGGCTTCCTCGATTGAAAATATTAGACGTGTATGATTGCCCAAATCTAACAGCTATTTTGGAGTGTCCTGCATTGGAAGTGCTAGAATTATATAATATCAACGAAAGATTGGAGATTATACCAGTATCAGGGGACTCATCTTATGGTATTGGTCCCAAATTAAGGGAGGTTAGTATAGACAACGTGGCATGGCTTAATTCGCTCCCCATGGACTCTTTTCAGGGTGGTGCAAAGCTGCGCATACGGTGGGATGAGAAGGTGGAGAGTTTGGGGGAGGCAAGGGAGGTGTTCCGTAGCTGCTCATCTTCACTGAAATACTTGGAAATTGAAAGTTGCTCTGAATTGAACAGTGTAATATCCGGAGGATTAGAGCATCTCTCTACTTTGGAGGACTTAGAAATAAGTGGTTGCTGTAATCTGAGTCAATCAGAACAAGTAGAGAAGGAATACTCCTTTTGTCAATCTCTCTGCTCTTTGAAATTGACTGAACTCTCTCAGCTGCTAGAACTGCCCAATTGGATAAGGTACTTGACTGCCCTCCAAACTCTTCATATTTGGAATTGCGAAGAACTGGGATGTATGCCAAATTGGATGTCCGAACTCACCTCTCTTAAGGAACTTCGAATCGCATATTGCTCAACACGGCTGAAAGAAAGATGGCAACAATCAACTGGAGAGGACTGGCCCATCATTCAACACATCCCTCACATTGTATTCCAGGACTATGATGATGATAATGAAAGTGATCAGGTTGCATTGTGATCAGGTTAATTGTTCAAAATTTGTTTAACAATTAGTGTATTTGAATTCTTAGGATTGCGTGGCTCTAATTTACCATTTAAACAAGGCATGCCCACTAGTTGACGAAATGACTTATTTTGCTACAAATCTCACTTTTCATACAAGATGTTTTCTTAATCCTGCGTTGAAATAAATGAATTCTTCTGATGGCCCTGATGGGTTGATTTTACTGCAGTCCGTAATTTGATTGTCCTTGAATATTACAACACTATTTGGCATTTCTAAGATCATTCTCATGAGTTATTTAACATCCCTTTTTATCTGATCATTGCAGTTGTATGATATTCATTTATGCTGAACAGCGGCCAAAAATAATGGATTGTCTTTATCAGTTTTTCAGAGAGTATGTTTGAAATATCAGTGAGTTGGCTGTTACTGCGTCAATAATGCTGCAAGCATGAAGCTAATCCGCAGCAAATTTTTGCATAAGCTTTGGTAGTATTTTGTCTGTAGTGCAATAATTTGTCAATCTATTATTGTCATTTGATGCTAAATATATGTACATGCTTGAAAATACAGAAGCATGAAAGCTGTTTAGACAGGATTGCTCTGAAAGTTTTTTTTATTTTTTTATTTTTTTATTTTTATATTATTTTTTATTTTATTTTTAACAACAGTTTTCTCTGGAAGTTGATATGATTTACATGGTAAGTGATGTTTATGTATCCATATATGTTTCCCTCAAAAAAAATGTATCCATATATGTTGAGAAGGGAAACAATTGACATGGATTGGTATGGGACTTTTAGATGTCTGTTTTCACCAAATGATGTAATGGGAATCAATGAAATTGTAAAGGATTTACAAAAAATGATGAATCTATAGTTTATATATGCAATGTACAAAATACATTTTATTATTTAAATTATTATAAATATAATTTTTTTATTTGCCTATTGAATATCAAAAGTTTATAAAGTATAGGATTGTGTAGGCATGAGTCATATGACCAGATGAATAAAAAAACATTTAGAGCATGGAGCACCTTAAAAATCTCAAATACATGTACTCCATAATATTTTTGATGCGTGTTTGATGGGATTGTTACAATTTTGGCAAAAAAAATAAATAAATTAAAATAAAAAAAAAATTAAAATTTAAAATGAATATACAAGCTACAAAATGTTATATACAACGTTAAATGAATAAATATCTAGATCTTGGTTGAAAATAAGGACAATGTAAATTTGGAACGGAGTACTCGAAATAAATAAATTGATTCCACTTCCACAAAGAAACTCAATTTCCTTGGAAAATTTTTTAAGAAAATTTAATGAAAGTATGAGATTTATTTATTTATTTTGACACAATATGGGATTTATTAATTATACAACTAAATATAAAACTTAGATTTTATGAATTTAATTTGATTACATAATTATTTATAGTTTAAAATTGATAACTTTGCATCACTTGGGTCCATAGCTCAGTGGTAGAGCATTTGACTGCAGATCAAGAGGTCACCGGTTCGAACCCGGTTGGGCCCTAAACTTAGATTTTTTTAAAAAAATTATTTTTTATTTCTTTTTTGATCGCCTTGCTGTTTGTCTCCATTCTGCTAGAGCGTGCGTTGGGTTTATGGGGTGTGTACTAATGCCGTGGTGCTTCACCAGTGCTCTTCACAGGTTTGTATTTTATTGTGGAATTCAATTACAGGTAGAGTGTTCTTTCAACAGAGATGATTACTGGTTATAAGTTTTGCTGTTTTATTTTTAAGATGAATAGAGTAATCATGTACATTACAAGAGTGAGTATTATTATCAATTGATAAATCATAATTGTTGTGAATCACTGGTGGTTGTATCCTCTCCGAGTTTATTATAATCGTGAGCGTAGTCATAGGGTTCCATGACTCCCGAAGTAGCAGAAAAGAATCAAATCAGGTCTATCATTCAAAATTTCAGAGTTGCTGAAAAAACAAGAGAATGATATAATGTAAATGACCTGTGTAATAACTGAGAGATATGATTATACTTGATGAAATTCAAGCTCCAAACAATAACAAATTAAGAGATGATACAACAATACAAGCTCCACTAAAATAGCCAAAGAAAATGATGCAATTGCTATGCTTTCAATTGAAATATAATACCAGAGCTTGATGCCACAACAGCTGTCAGCAGGAAAACAATGATTCCAAGAGATTTCAATCTGTTTCATGAAGCCGACAGGCTTGACACAACAATTGCTTCTTAACATTATAAAACAAAGTAAATCATAAAGCTCATAAACCGATCGTTACTAGAATACATAAATACTCCCTTCATTCCAGTCCAAATTCACCCTTCTGGACATGGCTGCTTCCGCAACCAGGCTTCCAGTCAGAAAATTAGAAGAATGACCATTCCCGACTTTTTAACTGCAATTTAAAAAAACAAATAAGTTATAATACTCTTATTGAAAAAAATTGGTTTGTGAAAAGTTGAAAGCGCAAATTAACATCAATATGCCAACCACCAAGTACATGCAAATAAAAAGAGTGAAATTAATGATTCATGTGACTATGAGTACAAAATTTCCAAGCAGGAGTAAAATATACCCAGAAATCAAATGTAAAATGCAGCTACATTTTGTCAATGCATCGAATGAACAATGTTGTCAATGCATCTAGATTTTGTCAATGCATTGAATGAACAATGTTGTCAATGCATCTAGATTTTATTCAGGGTATATACACAATCACTATCTAGATAAACCAACATAAGATATATGTTAGATGTCTTGCTCCCAGTAACAAAAAAAAAAATCTCATTCTGCAGTGTACTTTGAAACCATTTCTTGAACAATTTCTTGCTCCCAAATGATTAAAAACACATTTTCATTTAAATTAAAAGAAAGCAAATATGCTAATAAACAATGTTTAAAAGATGGAAGTTTAAAACGCATAAACCAAATGAGACATCACAAAAGAGTAGAATTAGATGCACAAAGCAGAGGCTCATGAAAAAGTCAAGCTAGTTGAGTTATCTCCATAAATTGTTTAACATAATTGGAAAGGTGTATTTCTTCCAGACAGCCTGACTAATTAGCATGCAGTCTCAATTTCGATGTGACCAGCGTATCATTTGACCAGAAGCTAACAAATCTATTAGGAAACACAGGGTAGGACAGTAGTGATGCCATCATTGCCTTATGGAAGCTTAAGGAAGAGGCCTAAAGTGGTCGACTAGAATGTCTCATATGTTTTCCTAGGTCCCTAATCATCATATCATAAGCAAATCAACAACAGAAAGCTTCCACCATGCAGGATAATGTAACTATTTGGTGAATAGTGGATACAAATATCAATTACATGTATAAGCATCAAGAGATTAAATTTAGATGGCTGGGGTGGGTTACAACATACAACAAATCCACTTTGAATACATCAATGAACTCACAAGCTCAAATAGTCACATTTCTTGGTCTACCAAACACAGAAAATTCCCAAATAAAAAATTAAAAATATTTGGTTTAGGATGAACTCTTTATTATGGCATAATAACATGGCCTAGACCCAACATGAAGTTACTAAGAGGAACTACATCAGCACACAAACACGTTAAAGACATGAACAATACCATAGTGTTGTGGCCTAATATGTGAGATATGCAATTTGTTGTGTCAGGCTGAGGAGTAATATATTAGCTTCTCCAGCTAGCATTTAGCTTTTCAAAGTTTAACTACCATCTTAAATACAAAGTACCTTAAATACACTTTATCTATGTACGGTTTGTTATTACTAGATATCTTTAATTTCATAATGAAAAAATTTTATGAAAATTACACATTAATAAAACACATATTATTATGAATCTAATAAGAACCCACTTGATATATTTTTTCTTTACAGATTATGGAACACATAAGGTCAAAGTTTAGTCAAATCAGATTTGACCAGATTAGATCATACCATACATACCATACCAAATCAGCAAAAGAAGGTGAACTAAACAAGCCCTTATAGATGACCCACTAGATTAATCTCACAAACACTATTTTGAGTTCCACCACTAGTCTATCTCATCAACTTCACCAAACAAAAATTTAATATAGTGAACATACTCTAATCGGTCATATGAGGCAAACAATAAGGGACGGAGGGAGTATAAACTAGGCTCATCTATACCCAGCATAATATGCATAAAATTTTTGTAACTATGCCTTCCAACCTTGAAAAATGTGTTTCCAATCCCTCCATCAGAGGTCATGTACAAACTAGCTAGCGGAAGTTTCACCAATGGAAAATAATATCTACAATCAAGCATAAAATCAAGGCCTTAATGGAAAATAGCAAAACATGTCCGGAATCCTGAATTCACCCCAACATGTATATGCATGAGATCAACCTTAAAGTACTCACTGACACTTGCCTTTTATGGTAAAATCAATATCTTAGAGCGCCAGGAAAAAGGTTCTGAATCACATTCTTCATTTTTCACTTTCTTTAAGTAACGGTCCAGAGCATATGTCTGGTCATCTACAATTTCTGTGGAATTTGCATCTTCAGCCAACTTGACTGCAGCCACTTGAGAAAACTGAAATGTTTCGCCAATGTGCTGCAGCTTCCGAGCAGCTTCTTCCATGCCAAGCATCAAAAGGGTGGACAACAGTGATTTCAGCTCACGTCTGGCACCTACGGTCATAGCCATACCCTTAAGATGATCAACTAGAGCCAGTTCCTCGCCAGGGCTACATCATAAAGGTTTTCAGGTAATAAAATTGTTGGCAACGAAAACACAGTAAGATAAAGGGAGCTAAATCTGATAACCAGGGTGTTATCATTACCGAGAGAGTCAAAGAGCACGAAAACCTAAGATATAAAAATAGAATACCTGCCAGCACGAATCTTTCCTTTATTTTTCTTGCGCTTGTTTTCTCTTGCCCTGCTGGAAGTCCTAGAAGTCATTGAAGCAGTAGAAACCTTACTCGTCCTGCCAATGAGAAGTTGAACACCATAAGAAAACTACACTGAATAAAATTGGAGCAGGGAGATGCTAATAGAAAAAAGCAACTAGAATAAATTGTCAAGAAAGTGACAAAACAAGATAGCTCAAGAAAGATAGGCATGGCCACATATGATGCATCAACATAGGAATTAAGTGTTTAATTTATGAAAGAATTAGAGCTCATGTTCAATCATTGTATCAGCAAACAAGCAAAATGAGAGACTTCAAGCCTAGTGTTCAAAATAAATGTAAAGTTTTTTTATTTCAGAAAACCCCTTGTCATTCAATATCTAGAGAAAGCACCACTTCGTTGTATTTTGATCAATAACTGACCAAGCTCTAAGGCAAGGGGGCAATACTAGAGTTTTATATAAAGAGTAACTTACAATTATCCCAAGTTTATTCTTAGTACTGACGATTGAAATTTTCATTCCACCTCCTAAAGTTCAGTAAAACTCTAATTTTGTCTCCTACACTTTAACTGACATGCAATGAATGCAAGTTATTTCTAGGGTATATATTCGCAATATTAGGGTATCGAGATGGAAACATGCCAAAAAGGAAGGTATCAGAATGAAAAAAAGTCTTCAATATCAAACACACATATAAGCATTCAAACTTACAACCTATGTTACTCGGACTCGGGTAGCCATGTCCGACACGGGTACGTATCCAAGTGTCCGACTCAGCTATTTTGTGAAAAAATTCTATGATTTTCAACTAAAATGAAGTGTCCATGTGTCATACCCATGTCCGAGGGTCGAGAGTCCGACACGGGTACTTGAGGTAAAATGAAGAGTCCGAGTAACATAGCTTACAACTAGTCAGGGGTCACACAGGACATTTCATGATAAGGACAAACCAACTGATCCACGTCAGCATGCCGTAATTCCTGAAACAGGAGTAACTCATAACAAGTACTCCGTAGCTCAAGTTTGACAAGGGTCATGGCTAAATTGTCCCCTCTACAGCTTCACCCCCATAACGCAATAGAGATCCTAGAGTTGAAGGCACAAATACGCCAGCAAAGTGAGGCATACATTTCCACAAATAAAAGTATGGCAATTTATATAAATAAATTCTTCAGTCTTTTTTTAGTTGACATGTTTTTGACACTATTCACAAACGCTACTTTGAATAGCTTTTG